AAACAATTTATTCATTTGTTATTCGTCATTCGAATAAATTTTGCCCAACTCTGGTCATAACAAGCCAGTGTAAAGGATTTGATTCATGCGAATGACATTCCTAGGGTAAATGACAATTCTGATCCGAAGGATGGCATTCGCACGAATCTAAACCTTACACTCACTTGTTATGACAGTGCCAATTGGATTGGATCCGTGCGGATGGCATCCGTAAAAAGTGTGGTAAAGAGTGACCACTCGAAACCTTTCACACACCTCTGGGGAACCATAGGAAAATGGTCTAAAATTTGCATTTTGACACCGGAAATGTAAACTCGATAAAGAGTATTTTTGTGCAGAATACCTTTCTATTGGCAAAGGTATTCAACATTTCTTCTGCATATAACTCCGGATACGCCATCCACAATATATGTACATATTAGGCTGTTACAATTTTGTATGGTGGCAAATAAAAAGCATTTGATCTTACTGTAATAGTAATAGGTCTAAGCCAATAATAATTGGCCACAAAAGATTAATTTAAAACATATCTTTAGACCGCGCAATTAATTCAAAGTTTATGAATTCGAAAAATTATACTTTGGCTGGTAATATCTAGGGAATGCGTTCATTGTTATGAACTAGACGAGATATCAAGTGAAAGGTTATTAAATTTAGTATCTGACGTCCATATATCATTTTTCAATAAGACTACAAGTTGTCGAGATATTTAGAAGCGATGACTTTCCCGTATGAGTTTTCAATTCATTACTTTAGTAACCAAGTGAAAATGAAAAAATGGACGAGATTTATTTCAAAGATTTTTAGGTTTTCGGATGTTTGTATAATATTTAAAGGGCCATCGACTTGGCCACGCTAATTTGGTCAGTTTTCAAAATAGTGTAAATGAAATTAAATACGGATTAGGAATCATTTGATTAGTAAAAATAGTAGTTTGAAACACATACAAAAAATTAATTAAATAAAATTTAGGTGAGCAACGGCTATTTTTAGTCCATTTATGTATACTTGAAACTTGGAGCGGAATGGATTCATTAGTCACCGTAAAACCACATTTTTCGCGGTCTCTAAATTTACCGTTATATGATAGTAGGAGCGCGCAATTAGTATTTAGATATACAAGCATATAGTCGTTTAAAGTACAAAACCGCGTATCAACAAAATGCAAAAATGCCTATGTCAGGTTGCATAAATTATTTTCTAGAGAGTAAAAACACTCATAATTCAAAATGGTTCTCTTTTTTTATAAAGCAATCGCATTTCTGGTTAGTATATGTCAGGACGAATGGATAAGGATGGAGCCAAGAGCTTGTGTGAGTAAATCCAATTTTGGCAGCAAATATCAGTTACGCGGTTTTGCAGAACGACAATACGCGTTAAACGACGATATCGATATGTAAATATTTTAGTTAATTTCATTATGTCAAAGAGTGAGCGTAGGTAAATGCACTATCCTCTTGGGACTCTCCAATTGGAGATATAGCTTTGTATTCAACTTCAACGAAGCAAGTCAATACGTAGCACACTTTTCCGTAATCGTTTGCTTATATTTCGAAGATATTTATAGAATTTAAGTGAAATTTTTATCGAAACAAGACAGAGATACATCTCTTTTTTTCGACATAACCTTGATAAATATTACTCGATCGGTATGTAATAATTACCAAATTGAAAGCGAGACTTACTGTTACTGATTTATGATAATAATGTGATAAAAAGCCTTCAAATTAAAACAAAATTATTTAAAAAGAATAAAAATGTTGAACAAAAAGTTATGTGAACTTCACTTTTGTAATTGCAATTTTCCTATTGCATGCATAATAATAAGTAAACTAATTAGTGTTGGTCCAATTTGTGCAATGAAATTTTTCCACATGGTGATGGAAAATAAAGATTTTCGTATTATAGCTCACGAAACTCTTCCAAAATTTGCAAAAATTCGCAAAGTATAACTAATATGAAAACCAGATTAGTATATTTGGATCCAGCGACCTTAAATATAAAGACTAAAGACCAGACATTCCCACGACTGCCGGTTCTACGTACCGGAATGACTCGGGCTTTACCCGACCAAGGGCTGTTGTTTCGGCGATCTAACCCCATTTAGGTTGGCGAAGTATCTCAGAAGTTGTTCGTCCATAGGGCTACATTTGCTACGTATTCTTCTGCTCAGGGCTGGCATCGCGTAAAACCCAGGACCAGAAACCTACACCTGCTGTGTATGCCAGAGACGATTACACTACAACTCCACCTCAGTCAAGTGCAGTGCTTGCGACGGGTGGGGTCACCTCATAGTCTGCTCTCAGGACTACGGATCCATCGGCAGTGGACCACTTCATTTGTTGCCGCCTGCTGCTCAAATAGAGCAGCCTTCACGGCTAACCCCAGTCCACCTGAGCAGCTCACCACGAACACCACAGCATCACGACACATAGACCACACCACAATCACGATAGACCAACAACAGACACAACCGCACCACCACCCACACGCCGCCGCCAAAAACTCCTACAATCTGCACGGTATGTCAGACCAGGATATTCCGTAACGTGGCATCAGTCAAGTGCAACACCTGCCTTGGCTGGTGCCACTTTAGGGCATGTTCAGGTCTGCGCACCACGCGTGATTGGACGAGGAACTTCGAGGGCCCGTGTTTCGCTGCTCGGTCGGAAACCCCAATTGCGACGCCACCCACTACCACCACAGGGCGGCATCCTCCACAGCAGCGCACACAGCCAATGGCGGCAAGGCAACACACATCCCTCGCACCCCGCATAACAACACGTCTCAACACGGACTTCAATGCAAGATCGAGGAGATAACTGTCTTCATGGGAAGGCATGGTATATTGATAGATGCGGCCCAAGATACGAAGTTGTACATCAATTCAACATTGTTGAATTGTGCCGCATACAACGTGCACCGCCGAGATCGCGAGCAGGATAATGGTGGTGCAGTATCGTCTTATTGAAGCAGACTTCGACCGCAGGGATACCACCCTAGAATGTCAGGGCATTGCTATCCGGGCAGGTAATGTCGAGCTCGAAATATTTATTATTTATATACCCCTGTCACTAGCTGCCCGGTAGGATATCACCCTGATATAGGTGCGCTCCTCAGAGGTGAAAACCGTATGGTAGCTGGTGACTTTAATGCGCACCACGATCTCTGGCATTCAAGCCTGTCAAACGATCGTAGAGGAACAGACTTGGCTGAACAGATAGACGACTCGACATTCTGCACAATGAACGACGACGCTATCCCCGTATCAGGGATCTCAACGCGGAGATTCGGCAGCTTGTGAACGTACATAAGCGGAAAAATTGGGAACAGCATCTGCAGACTTGTAACTTCACCTCTGGTCTGAGTAAGCTTTGGTCAACCGTGAGGTCACTGTCCAATCTGAAGAAGCAACACGACGACAGGGTCGAAATTTCTTTCGGCGACCATGCTTCGTCGGATCCGGAGCGATGCGCGAGCTATTTGAGACGGCAGTTCATAATGCATCCTCTGCGACCTTGTTCACCACCTGGACAAAGGAGGTCAGACTACCGCGGGGAATTCACGTCCATGATAAACCAATTCCGACGGTGAATAACCCCAAAATACTCGGAGTAACCTTCGACAGTCTGCTCTCCTTCTCTGCGCACGCAACCGCTATTGTCAACCAAGTACAGAGCCGCAACAAGGTCCTCAAGTCGCTAGCCGGCAGAATTGGCGCAAAGACAAAGAAACGTTGCTGGCAACATACAAGGCAATAGGCCGGCCGGTTTTAAATTACGCAGCACCAGTGTAGTCGCCGGGGACTTGTAGGACGCAGTGGATGAAGCTACAGACAACACAAAACACTGTACTTCGGACAGCGACTGGATGCCTTCTGATGTCGCCAGAACACCACCTGCACGACGAGGCGAAAATGTTCCCTATAAAGGAGCATAACAGAATGCACTACAAGCAGTTTCTAGTTGGGAGCCACAGACCTGGTCACCCAAATAGACAACTGCTTGTAGAAGAGCCCTCGCCAAGGCACGTCAAGAGGCATCTCTTCGAACTGACGGACGAAGTCCAGAGGTTCATTAAGCAACCTCTGGAGCTGTGAGCATATCGACAGGTCCTGAACGGCATTCACAGGGCGTTAGTCTCGAGTTATGTAGACTTCAGACCTGTGAATGCCCTTCTAGGCGCACAACCACCGGACATCGACGAAACGGAGCTTCATCTGCCTCGGGAGACGAGAACCACAATAGCCCAACTTCACTCTAGCTACTGCAGCAGGTTAAACTCATACCTGAGCAGATTAGACGCAGATGTGCCAAATGAGTGTCCGGCATGTGGAGAGACACCCCACGACTCGAAACATCTCTTCGTATGCCCGGAAAATCCGACAACACTAACGCCTTTGTCCCTGTGGACCGATCCCATTGAGGCTGCACGCTTCTTAGGGCTTCCGTTAGTGCAGCTTGACGACAACGACTGAGATATTAACCGATCTGGACGGGGTTGTTGTAGCCGCTACAACAACAACAACTAAAGACCAGTGCACTTATCAACAGAATAATTATAAAGTGCATTTTTCAGACCGAATTTATTAATAAATTAGTGACCGAAAATTACAAAGCTAGGTTTTGCAATAAAGTGTCGACCCTTGACTACAAGTGTGCGTAAACTTTTTTTGATAGGTTCACCCATTCGGCCACAATAGCCCGAAATCATTGTGCAAAAAACTAAATCGTACCCAGTTAAATCGTTATTTGGGTTTCCTCAATCAACAATTGCACCAAAATGACGTCACACATATACAGCTGATTCTGTCAAATTCAAAAAGAGCGGATTAGCGTTATCGCGATGGGTGCGATCTCTGCTTTTCTCAATCGTGGTATATACATATGTATGTATGTATGTACATATGTTTACATACATAAATATTCTTCCGGCGGAAGTGGCTTCGCATCAGCGATACTTTTTCAAGGCATATTTGTCAGCGCTAAAATACCCATTTTACGTATATGGAAATACACTTGTAGTCCACACAGCTGTTCCATTTAGTAGATGAACAACTACAAAAACATTGCACATACATACATACGTCCGTAGAAGACATGCGCATAAGTTAGCGGACAACCAGTACATGCAACTGAGCTAATAGTTAAACTGGTTTGCCACAGAAAAAAAGTAGTTTTTAGTAAATATGAAGTAAATAATTAATTTGGAAAAACAAATGACTTGCAACTGAACTCTAAAATATAATCGATAGACTTCAGTGTGGCAGTAGAATTAAAGCAAAGATACACAAAATAAAATTTAGTAGCTGTTGAAGTGCACAAAGGACACCTAATCGAAATTATTACAATACACAGCATACATAAATGCCTACACACACATGCATACGCACTCGTTTGCTGTATGGCAGTAAATATTAATTAGTCAGCCTGGTCTCGCACACGCAACAACAATATTAAAAAGATAATCATTAAATTTATTTACTACGATCGTCCGAAATCGATTGATTGCATATTTGGTATGCGAAACGCACACATTTTTGTTCACCTGTAATCGTCGTAAAGCATATGCCAGTTGGGGAGCAGAAAAACAAAATCAATTTCATCGGTCGTTTTGCGGTTGTTTGTGCTATGTCCAATGTGATTGACGATTAGTTTCGATTTATAACGCTTCGTGTTTAGTTCAAAATAAAATTTCTATAGATATGTACTACGTTTAAACCAAATCGCCTCGACCTTAACGCATTTGCATTCGGATTTACTTACGCGTATTAGTTATTTTTTATTTGTTTGCGTTTTTCTTTAAATTTGCAGTGGATATGTATTTTTCAAAGGCATACATATGTACATATGTACACATCTTCAGTTAATTGAAAAAATGCACTAATGCTCAGTGTCGTCCAGTTTTAACATGAAAATCACTTTGCGTGAGCACCCGACGTCACCGATCCATCATTATCGTTCAAGCAGTGACCTTTGCAGTGCCACAAGTCGTCGCGACACCAACAACATTTCCCCAGCCACCACAGCCACCATATGCCACGCGCAATTTAATCAACCCCAAATTGTCGAAACTAACAACCACTACAAAAACAACAACAACAACAACAACAACAGGGACACCAACTTCTCAACTACAATGAACAATACAAAGTGGAATACACGTAGCTTCAGCGGTCAACGTTATCAACGCTCACCGCCCAGTCAACAGGAGGTATCTATGCGTCGCAGCCTAGAGGAGATTTCCAAAGATCTCAAGGAGATTGAAAATGTTATTACCGCAACAGAAATTGCTGTGCGCAACGCTAATAAAGCAGATCAATCGACATCTAAACGTAGACGTAGCAACAAAACCATTCCAAATAAGGAGAATAAAACACCGAGTCCCACTGAGCGCCAAAGCGCTTCGCAAAAGACCTCGCCCGTTACCTACAAATTAAATTCCTTTAAGCGGCAACGTCACAAAATGCGTAGTCCGCGTCTTACAAATTCGAAGCTATATTTTCGCAATGGCCGCATTGGTTGTTTGGAAGCCGATCAGCATGGCTCCAATATACAAGGCACACACGCGCTGGTCAAGCACATTTTGAAGTATGTCAATGAGAAACCATTGGTAAGTCCGGAGAGCGTACGTCGTGTGTTGAATGGTACGAAGACGCCAACGTTGTCGTCGGAGTCGGCACCAACGCCGCCGCCAGTGCCAGTAACACCGTTAAAGGCTTTACCCGCTGCGTCGGCACAAAGCGCCGAATCAGTGCTCCTGCCTGGACAAGTGCCTGAAGAGTCTACTGCTGCTGTTGTTGTTAAGAGTTATTCGAGATGCAGCAATAATACGGCAAATGATAGCCACAGTCAGCGCAGGCCACAAAGTGAAGGCTCCTCGATGACGGAGAATACTATGTCGCAGCCATTGGTCGATGATGATGAGCAGGATGTGCAAATCTGCTATGATGAGCTGCCGGACATGTTGAATGATGAACAAAATTTTGGACCAGAATTGGTGAAGAGCGATTTTGCAGCGGTGGTGCCGGAAGAGGAAGTGCCTACAGATAGGCGCTTCAGCGCGACGAGGTAAGGTGAAGGGGAGATGAAGTAGATATTTAGGTTTTAAGACAAGGATTGAGTTATGTGTTGTTGAATATTAGTATACTGAGCCCTCTGATGGTGTCATATATTCAAAATAAGGCTTAAGTGCCTAAAAATATGCAATATTTGCAAACGTGTCCATGCCATAAGTAAGCAGTGGTTTAACTCCTGAAAATGTGCTACGTTGGCATATAAACATTTTTATATTTCTATGCAGTTTAAGGCCGCTAAAAAAAAGCGTTTTAAATATTTTTAATTCTTTTTTTCATATTTAATAACTAAACTAATTTTACTGCAAATTTTGTTTCTTTTAACAAAAATTTATATTTTTTTTTTAATTTTTTGTTAGCTAAAATTAAAAAAAAATATTCTTTCAGAAATACTCAATTTTTTTACAACAAAATAATTTTTGATAAAAACTTTTAAACTCTTCAAAACAATTCAAAAAATGTTTTCAAAAACGTTTAATATATTTCTCATTAGTACACAAATTTTTTCACAAAATAATTTTACTAAATAACGAAGTTTTTATTCACTTATGAAAAAAATTAAAAAAAATTTTTGTTATTATGTACTATACACAAAATAATGTTCGCTGCAAAGATTTAACTCTGAAAAAAAATGTTTTTAAAAATATTTTTCTCATAATAAAAAAATTTTCGACTAAATATTTTTTTACGAAATGTTTACGCATTTTTTCTCATTCCGCCGTAGTTGATTCCCAATGCAAAAAATACGTACTTCACCCACATTTAACTGTAAATTCCCCCTATTCTCTTTCTAGTCTCAACTCAGACGTACGTGACCAAGTGCGCCATCTTGTACGCCGCTTCACGGCACGCGCTAACAAAGTTAAATCGCGCATAGAGTTGCCACCCACACCGTCGTCGAGTACCAGCCTCGATGCCAGCACCAGCACTGGCGGTTCGGTCTCGCCGACGCGCTCACTCCCAGCCGCTCTCAAATCTGTCAGTACAACGCGCGAGAATTCGCCATTCAAAACCAAACTGAAGGATGCCGCCAAGTCGCTGAATCGTGGTCGTCTCTTCGAAGCGGACACCTCACGTTCGAATGTGTGGATTTGTTCCAGCCTGTGTGGCAGCAATAATGAGGAGAAAACACTCGATCCGCAAGGCAAAATCTACATTTCGTGGTTGTGTGTGGTCTCACTGTCCTTCCTCTATAATGCCTGGGTCATACCGCTGCGTTCCACCTTCCCTTTCCAGACGCCCGAGAATACGAACGCTTGGCTGATATGCGATTTTTGTGCTGACATTATTTATCTGTTAGATGTTATCTTCTTTAAGCATCGAATTATGTACCTATTCGAGGGTTTTTGGGTAAAAAATAAGAATCTAACGCGGAAGAATTACATGAGGAAGCTGCAATTTAAGGTAAGAATAAGCTAGCGCCTAAAGCTATGCAACATTTTTGGCTACTATAACTATGTGGTTCCTTAAAATATGTTGCAGTACTGAGAATTATTTCGATTAGCGGTACATATAACTTGTTTTGAATTACTTTCAGCTGGATTTGCTCGCCCTACTTCCTCTGGAACTTTTCTATTTCAAATATGGCACCGGTGCTGTTTATTTGCGCTTTCCGCGCTTATTCAAAATCCAAAGTTTCTGGGAGGTCTTCAAGCTACTAGATCGCGTCATATCTTCCCCACATTTCGTAAGTATTTTTTATGCCATTGATTGCTCTTCGGTATAGAATTTTTTATCTCCGAATTTCAGGTGCGCGTGGCTAAAACCCTGACCTATATGTTGTATATGATCCATCTAACTGCTTGCGCCTACTATGCCTACAGTGACTACCAAGGTAATCTAATCCATTTTAAGAAGAAGGAATTTGCGTGCCCTTTCGAGCTATTATTCTAACACTTTTTACATTCCAATCGCAGGCTTGGGCGTGAATCGTTGGGTCTTTAGCGGCAAAGGACATCCCTACGTGCGTTGCTTTGCATTCGCTACTAAAACTGCAACGTCTATAGGTAATTGGAATTTTTGTTTCACATTTGCGACCAAATTTGAAAATTTCACTCACGGCAGGTAAAAATCCTAAGCCCGAGCGTGAGGGGGAATATGTCTTCATGACAGCCGCTTGGCTAATGGGTGTCTTTGTTTTCGCGTTGCTGATCGGTCAGATACGCGATATCATTTCGACGGCAACGCGCAATAAAAATGAATACCGACAACTGGAGGACGAGACCTTGGAGTATATGCGACGTTTGAATTTGCCAAGTGAAGTGCAGGGCCGCGTGAAAATGTGGTTCAAATTTACTTGGGAGCAACAGCGTACTCTGGGTAAGTCCCAAAAAAGCTGAGTGAATTTTTACAAAAGCTCAAAAGTTAGAAAGCGAAGCTCCATCAAAGTTTTGGAAAGCAAACTCTGATGAGATTTCGCCACTATAGTTATTTGTGCACGTTTTAGAAGTTCTAAATAAAAAAGTGGTACAAAAGTTGTTGGAACATAAGCTTTTAAGAGCTTTAACTATTAAAAGAGCTTTTTTTGTAACTGTCAGTTTTTGCACAATAGCTGCTGAAGCACATTTTAGAAGTTTAAAAAAAGTTGTACGAAAGCTGTTGGTTTTTGAAACTTTAACTATTTATTAATGTTGAGAAACGAGCTTTTTAGATCTTCAAACACCAAACAAGCTTTTTTATAGCTGCAGATTTTTTTATAATGGCTACTTCCACACATTTTAGAAGTTTGAAATAAAAAAAGTGGTATGAAAGCTGTTGGAATTTAAACTATTTGGAACTTTCACTGCAAAATAAGCTCTTTTCCACAGCCAATTTTTGTACAATAGCTACTTACGCACATTTTAGAAGTTCCAAAATCATACAAGAAAACGTTTGGAACACAAGCTTTTTAGAGCTTTCACTACTAATTAACCTCTTCGAAGTTCCAATATTTATGAAATAGTTATTTACGAGGTTTCTTTAGTTCGAAGTATATAAAGTTTTATGAAAGCTGTTGAAAAACGAGTTTTTTAGAGGTTAAAAGTACAAAGCTCTATAAAAGCTGTTCACATTTTTCACAATCTAAAACTTTACCCGCAGTTCATAAAATTTTCTCTCCCCTCTCTCCACAGATGAAGCCAACATATTGGACTCACTACCGATTAATTTGAAAACAGACATCGCTATCGCTGTACACATACAAACCCTCTCTAAGGTGCAACTTTTCGCCGATTGCGAGGAGGCTCTACTACGCGACTTGGTGCTAAAATTGCGCGCTGTCACTTTCCTGCCGGGCGATTGTGTTTGTCGCAAGGGTGAAGTTGGCCGCGAAATGTACATTATTAAGCTGGGACAAGTGCAGGTGATGGGCGGCCCACATAGTGATATCGTATTGGCCACACTCTCCGAGGGTTCAGTCTTTGGCGAGATCAGTTTACTGGGCATAAATGGCGCCGATCGCCGTACGGCCGATGACGCTCCAAAGGTTATGCCAATCTCTTTGTACTCTCCAAATCCGATCTCAACGAAGTGATCGCTTACTATCCTAACGCACAAGCCATTCTAAAGAAGCGAGCACGCGCACTAATGCGTAAGAATGCCGCACGTGAACGTGAAGAAGAGCGCGCCAAAAGCGCACTGAAGGCCGATGTGGTTATAAGTAATCCGAAGACACCCGAAACACCGCCCAAATTGCTAAAGACTGTTATACAGGCTTTGCCTTATGAGTCGCCCGCTGTGATTCTGATAACCCGTGGTTCTAAGCGCATGCGCAAGAAAAGTAAACCCAATCCGTTGGCGTGCATTGAGGATCAAGAGTGTACGGAAGCGGCTAAAGGGATGAATGAGTTGCGTAGCGGCGTGGTGGGTATGTTGAGTGGCGGCGTAGGTGGAGGCGTAGCGGTAGGCAGCGACGGTAGGCGTGCCAATTCACCGGATTTGTTATCATCAATACAAAATGAGTTGAAAAGCAAGCACAGTTTCATAAACTTAACCGATTCACAAAAGGCGTTGATAATCTCGAAATCTACGAACAGTTTAGAGGAGCAGCAGCAGCAGCAGCAGCAGCAGAGCAATTGTGAGGAGGCAGCATTGAGGGGCAAGGGAAAAGTTTAAGTGTGCCATATGTACATATGTGCGAAACGTGCAATTATGAGTAACGCATGCGCAAAGCTTTATAAATATGTATTTATGTATCAAATCGTGCTTGTTGAAAATGAACCAAATAATTTATGTAGCAAAAACTTGTTTGATATACATACGTATATATGTAGATACGTATACATACATACGTATAAGTAAAGATGCAATAAAAAGTTTTATTTTATTAATGTGACCATTGAAGTTTTGAACTTGCGGCGCTTAGAAGTCTTTTATGTAACTTAAAACGTAAACTGGTTAAAAACCGTTATTGTACATTTTGATATAAGAAAAGGACTGCAATTAAAAAAAAAAACACACACACATAAACATATTTTTTCTTTTATTTACTTTTATTCTTCTGCAGAAATCACATTAAATTCAAGTTGTAGCAAAAACAAACAGTTTTTCGTTCTTGTTCTTAATTATCACTACTCCTTACATTTAGTGCAAAAACTACAAAATACAGTAAAATAGTGTAACAAAGCAAGAAGAAGGTATTATCGTAATTTTTTCAGTCTGTTTTCTTAACTAAAATGCTTATAAAGCAATTTGCAAGTCATTCAATTTAATTTAGTCGCGCATCTTTGTAGTGTCTCTCATTGTCGGATTTGTCCAAACGAATAGAGTATGTTGGAATCAATGAACCTTCAACGGTAGCCTCACCATTCTCATCGAACTGTGGTCCATCGCCGATCTCTTGTGTCTCCTCCTTGACTACGCGGTAGCCATTCTCATCGGCCTCATAGTGTACGGTACGCATGACATAGCCATCGCGGTAGGAATACATGCCTTTGACCTGTTGAAAGATGAAAAAAAAAAATGAAAAATTATAAGTCAAGAACAGCTTATTTTAAGATTTGATTTATTGTGTATTCATTATTTTACTGGTAGTCAGTTTTATCACCGTTCTTGTCACCTATTCCTTTTTTTTTTGATCAAATAACCCTAGTACGAACTATGCACCCTATTCGGAGCTGAACTGATAAACTTCCAATACTTTTTCATTACCCTAATTTAAACGCATACAGATACCTTATCGTCCCTTACGGGTATTTGACGTCAGCACAGCACTTTCAAGTGTATTACATGAAATTGAGTGGTTTCAAATGTCATTGCATCTAATTTTTTAGATAAGTCACGGAACGATCGGAATCCATTTCATGTCATCACAACGCATCACATGACTTCAAGTCATATGATATCACATCGCTTCATAAAGTCATATGGTACAAACTGCCCTACCTTGGCTGATGGCCGCTCACCATAACAAATCGGCAATGAGCAAAGTGGGAATTAAAAAATAGTCTTACAAAAAAAAGCTCCTTTGCCTACTTTCATGGTGAAAAGCTGTTTTGACAGAAAACACTTGTTCATATGTATATCATTTTGCTCGCGCTGCTAAAACAGTTGCAATGACCGAGTGTGCAAAGCACACAGATATACTTTATTAAAATTTTAAAAACTTATATTATTTTTCTTTTTTAGTTTAATTTTTTAGACTTTATTGTTTTATAAATAAAAATATATATTTTTTTCATTTAATTTTAAGAAACTTATTTTTTTAAATTAAATTTTTCGATTTTACTATTTTGAAGACAAGAATATTTATTTTAAATTTCATTTAATTTTTAGAAATCTATATTTCACTTAATTTTTGGAAACTTTGTTATTTTATAAATTTTTTTTAATTACATGTTTTGGTTTCTTTGCTTTATAAAAATATTTATTTTAAATTTACTTTAATTTTTATAAATTTATTTTATGTCCCTTTTTTAACTAACTGTTTTTTTTTCATTAAATTTTCTTTAATTTTTAAATTCTATTGTTTTAAAAATAAGTATTTTTTATTTCATTTATTTTTAGGGAACTTATTTTGTCCCTTATTTAATTAACTTCTTTCTCTTTTTAATTATTTTATTTTGTTTTATTGCTTTAAAGACAAAACTATTTGCTTATTTCATTTAATTTTTGGGAACTTATTTTGTTTTTGTTTTTAATTTAGTTTATTTTTTTATTAATTTTTAGATTTTATTATTTAAAACGAAAACTAATTACTTTAAATTTTATTTAATTTTTAGAAAGTTACATATTTTATTTTTAATTATTAGGAACTAGTGTTTTTTCTATTTCAATTTTTTTAAATTTAATTTTAGATTTTATTGGTTTAAAAAAATATTTATTTTAAAATTCATTTAGTTTTTAGAAATTTATATTTTTTCTCTTTTTTAATTAACATTTTTCATTTCTTAACTCAGCACTGTTAAATTTTTAGATTTTACTGTTTTAAAAGTAAAAAAATATATTTTTTTATTTAATTTAGTTTCTAGGAGCTAACTTCTTTTTTTAACGTTTAGATTTTATTGTTTTAAAAATAAAAATATTTTTTTATTCAATTTAATTTTAGGAATTTATTTTGTTTCTTATTTTAATTTATAGATTTTATTGTTTTAAAAAGAAAAGTATTTATTTTAAATTTCATTGAATTTTTAGAAACCTATTTTTTCTTTTCTCGAGTATTAATTTTCCTTGTTTAACTAAGATTTTTTTGTTAACATTTTTTAATTGTTTTTTTAATTCTTATCACTTCTTGGCTCATATCATCGAATCGCATCTAATTAGCTTGTCTCACCTCACTAACCCATTATGAACCGTTTAAGAGTAAAATCAAGTTTGAGCTTCCAGGTCGGTTATTTCTCATACTTAATTTTTGAACTTACTTTAATTTTTTTAAGCTCTCAAACTCACCTTGGTACCATCACGTGTCTCCTCGCGTTGAATAGCGCCATCGTTTATATTGTCTTGAACATTGGAGCCATAGGAATATTGAGCACTTTCATTTTGGATACGTTCCAATTCAGCCTTCTCTTCAGCTGCGGTTTGGTCCTGCAATGTCAAAGCATTTTAAATGAAAAAATGATTACGCATATTATATAAGTATATATATGTATGTAGGTAAATCCATAAATATGTATGCATGTATGAAAAAGTGCTTGCTTGCATTCATATGCCCTTCCCTCATATGTTTCATATGCATGATTGATATTTACCACTTTCGACCTTGTGACACAAAATATACAGCAAGACAAAATCGTAGGTACAATTATACATAAATAAAAGGTAATCAAACCACCAGTTTAAGTTGTGTAAAAACAAATGCGTGCAAAAAAGAAAATATGTACATCCGTTGAACCTGTTATTTAGTATGTTAGTGGGTATGAATAGCTAAACCAGAAGATGCTGATGTGGAAACGGCTTATCTTTCCAAAAAAAAAAAACTTAAATAATAAAAAAAATGGGGACTTATGATGAAAAAGCGGTTAAAAATAAATACAAATAAATGAAGAAACAAAACACTCTAACCAGTTTTCGTGCGAAATTTGCGGCGTTTGCCTTGCGATGATTGAGCGGCATTATTATTATTCCTTGTAAATGATTGGCTAATAACTCACACACCCAGATAATTATTCGCATTGAGATATGTATGCTCTGACATGTTTATTTAAATGAGTTTGTTCATATATTTCTATTTAAAACAGTATTGTGCATTACATAAACAGTTACTCATGAACTTTCGCGAATATATACAACATATACATATTATGTACATTAGACCGTACCACCTTACAAGCAAAAAAAGTACTTTAAAATCCGCCTGTAAATGTCGAAGATATGACGAAAAATATTCGAAATTGCTTTCTTTTCGGTACGGTCTAATGCACCTGCATACATATGCAGATACTTTAATATATCTTTATGGTAGTTTATATTTGATTAATCTAAGCAATGACAAAGATAAATTTATATCCAATATATGTACGGATGTACATATTGTACATATGTATGTATTAGGGCTGTGCGATTAATTGATTACTCAAAATTTTAATTAATCATAAAGTAAATAACTCTATTATTCGATTAATTGGAAATTATGATTACTCAAAAGTTCAGTTACTCGAGTAATCAAGATTTTTGATTAACCAAAAACAAAAATATTTGAGTAATTTGCTTTATGATTAATCAACATTTCGAGTAAAATGAGTAATCAACATTTCAACTCTTTACATATGTATAAAGTAGCTAAAGTTCCTTGATACTTTGAAAACAACGTTTCTGTTTTCAAAAATTTAAACAAAAAATTTTTTTCATATACAGACTGTGAAAAAGAAAATAAGCATTTTCCAAAGCAAACTCTTTTAACGAGCAAAATTATTTTTTTTGAGTAATCATATTTCAAGTAACTCGATTAATCATCGTTTTGAGTAATCAAAATCTTGATTACTCGAGTAATTGATTAACCAAATAATTGATTAACCAACTTGCTCGAGTAATCGAATAATCGCACAGCCCTAGTATGTATATATATACTTGCAAGTATTTACATATGTACTGCCATGCATATGATGTGATGTCACTTACGAAAATACAGTGTGTGATCTTGCAATTCCCATTGTCAAAAAACAAATAATTTCCTACCCAAAAATATTGCTGTCAAAAATAACAGAGACCGAGCATGCACTTTATGTATGATACAAAATAAAAAATTTAATAATTTTGTTTTTAGTTACATAGATACCTTCATTGTTTTGAACAATAAATACCGATAATTTTTCTATTTTTCTGTTTCAAGGTAAAAACAAAGAGCAAAACTTGCCTGAATCCATAGAAGTTTCGAAAAATTTACGAAAGATTTTGAAAAAATTTGGAATTGTATAGAAAACGTTGCGAAAAGTCGTTGAAAAAATGCATAACAAACTAACAAGCAAAATGCCAAAAAATCAATAAAATCGGAAACATTTAATTTTTCATCAATGCTTATAAAATAAAAAAAAAAGAAGTTAAGAAAGCAATTCCGAATAAAAATTACGAAAGAATCTTTTAAAAATCTCTAAATACACACTATATCTAGTATGCCGAACCTCGAATCATTTAATGTTCTTTTTCATCTATTATTTAGGTTAGGCGCGTACGAATGACCCGTACTTCCATTCGGAGGCAGACATGCTCATTGTGAATGCCCTTTTTGAGTATCAGGACGAGGCTTATCGATTATTTTCTCTAAATCTAACTTAGAATTTCGAAATTTTAAATGGTCGATGAAATATTTAAAAGCCTCAAGTATAGCAGAGAATAAGACAAATCTTGAAACACACGAAAAATGTGTCGAGGAAACAAAAAACTAGAAATAGTGATTATTTTTGTTTTTCTTGTACAAAAATCTTCCATAGAGTTCCGAGATTCGGAGAAAACTCGAAAGGTCGGTAAAAAATATTTAAAATCCACAAAATTAGAAAAAAACTCCAGAAAAATTGCAAGAAAATCTTAAAAAAATACAAAAAATTCGTAAGAAAAACTCGAGAAAAGCAGAAAAACCTCGCATCATTTAATTTTTTATTCATACCCATAAAATCAGAAGCAAAAATTATCTAAGAAATAACGATTATTTTTGCCCTTTTCTTTTTTGAGACCAAAATGAAAGGCTAAACATCCCTAAAAATTTGGAAAAAATCCGGATATTCTAAAAAAAAAAAATTGCTCAATCGATGGCCTTTTTATTGCGAAATCTAGGGACAGCTTCTATTTACAATTTCTCATTTAACGTTTTTTATCGAACAGCCAATTGAAATAAGAAGATGATGCTTTTTGATTCCAATTTTCGTCACAGCTTGTCAGATCTGGTTTGTTGGCAAGCCGGTTTCGACGTTTTGCCATCTTCAGCGTAATTTTTCGTTCTTGAAATTCATTTAAAAATACGAGTACATCAAATATTTACTCTAGAAGTGAAAAACAAGTTATTACCCTTGACCACCCTAGAAGTGCTTGTTTTCTGTTGGTAACCACTGTGCGACAGTCGTGTTTAAAAGCAGTTGCTGTTAATTGTTTTATGAGTACTTAAATGCAATATTACTTAAGTTGAATTGAGTCGTATTTTAAATATGTATATACCCAACAAAGCAAAGGAGAGACGATTTTATATAAGTATGTACATAAAACATTTGACAAGTTCGGATAAGCTAAGATCAATTGCGAGCGATCTTGGACAAGTAAACTCAACTAACGGGCCCGAAAGCTTAGATTGGGAAGTTAGAGTAGTTTAATTCTGTGTATGAAAACTCATTTTAAGAGAGTTTCTGAAGCAATACTACTTATCGTATATTTTTCTTCTAGAGGAAAAGGCCTCGCTGTTTTACTTACTATATGGTCTTTATAATCCACTCTACCCGCACATTAGCACTCCAAAAGCTTATGGTTAGGTGGGTAATATTTTTTTTTTTTGTGTGGACTTCATGTCTCTCAAGCATGTGCACAATATGCAAAAACAATTAAGTTAAAAGGTTAGTCTCGAGTTCAAATCACTTGCTAGGAAATGTACAATTTCATGACACGATGCTGTGCCGTAAGGACAAAATAAGAACATTTCTCAATTCAGAGTAAAAACCCGTTCTGGCTTCTGCCCTCAACAGCTCACATTTTCTATCTACATTCATATGCCGATAGCAACTTTTTCAAAATGCTTGAGTCACAGAATTTATGACTTTCACGCAATAGGGAGGGTGGCAAGTGGCTGACTTTCGCATAAATAAGTGGTTAGGAAACCATGAGAGCTTGAAAGCTAATAAACTTAGCCGGGAAAGCAAGAATTAAAAGGCCTATGGTTTTCAAGCTGACACTCAAAAATAGTGAAAAATTAGGACTTTTATGATTTCGAGGTTTCAAATGACTGCGGCATTTTTAACTTAATTCGGCTGACTGCGATATGGGTTTCGGGCTCGATGATTAACGTAATAAGTAAAGGGACTATAGATTTATGTGTCTGGAACACGTTTCGTTAAGAGAATTATTCTTAGACTTTCGTTGCCGTGGAAAAATGAGGTTTAAGATAGTCTAGCTTTGCTATGAGAATAGCGATTTGTTAGGTTTTATCATAGATGATGGACTTAGCTAAAATAAGAAATCGCATGCTACCGTAAAATATTTTTATTTATGAAAATACCTCAAACAGTGCCTTAGAACTGAGACACACATTTTTAGAGGGTTTCTTGGTCTTACCTAATCTGTCTAAAAATCTTTTTCGAAAGACAAATTTTTAGAGGGTTTCTTGGTCTTACCTAATCTGTCTAAAAATCTTTTTAGAAAGAAACTTTTTTTCTATAAAAAAGGAGTGGGGCGTTTACTATTTACAGAAGTATCAGAGATCTATGTATTTTCTCGAAAGTTCTCTGAAAATGACCTATATTGTGTTGTAGCTATGAGTGAAAAGCTTTATTCCACCTCCTCACTCAGCTAGATGTTTTTTCAGGCAAAGTTTTTGGCATCAGGGTGGCTTACAGTAGGTCAGTGTTTGCTCTCGGATGGGCCTACAAAGCCTCCTAAACTCTACATACTCGTCGCCAAAAAAAAGGGGCCGATGAGCTGATTTGAAACAGAGTCGAATCTACAAGGGACTGCAGTTTGCGGTAGATATGAAGGATGAGTTGTTGTTGAATCTTTACAGCTGTTTCCATATAACACTTGGTACCGAGTGCTCTCACTCTATTCGACTGGCACTGAAGCAGGACAGCGCTAATCATTTCAATCAAAAGGTTGAGTCAATTGATTGAATCAAATGCGATTAACGGTCTAGGTACCCGCTATCAGGTGTGCAGCTTGCCTGTCTAGGCTCGGATTAAATTAAAGAAATTTTGATCAAACAATTATGAGGGGTATAATTATACTTGGATATACATACATATGTATGTATGTTTGTATGTACATATATCCGTTCTGATATCTGTATTGTATGTAAATAACCGAAACAGATCTCAAAACAAGTAATCGCAATTAGTTGCAAAAAGATGCGCTGCTTCTGATGGCTTCAAAGAGTAGACCAGCCTACAAACAAGTATATGATGTACATATGTATGTATATGTAGTATGTATGTAAATACGTACCAAGTATTCAATACAGCGTTGCCGTTTTGGTAATTTTTTATCTACACTGCTAATTATTTCCTTCTTTAAAAAATTTCGTGATTTATTTTTTAGTTTTTTAAGTGAAGAACATTCTGCCCTCACACAGGTCAATACAGGCCAATTCTGATTACACTTTAGGAAGTGGCCAGGAAGAGTCTTCGAAGGGAAGGACATTTCTTTTCTGTTTAAACTTGAAAGCAACGATGTGCGTTTCCTTTTTTTTACTCTTACCTTCCTTTTATTAGCTCTGGATGTAACTATGTAATATTGATGCGCCTAAAATATGCAGCGATTTCTATTCTCAAGTTACATACCTGATGACAGTACGAATGGCAATTATAATAGGGAGGTTTTAGTTTTTTAAACTATAATTTTATTTATTTATATGTAAAGACCAGAGCGGCTGCTCTGTAATGCGCTGGCAATCCCTCCAAGCATTGTTTTTTTTGAAATTTTTTCGACAACCTATTGACATAACGATATCTTGGCCAAACTTTGACAAACGTTGATTTTGAGGTGCTGCAGAGTTTGAGCTTTATTCGCATTTGAATGCCTCATAGTCCAACGGCGCTAAATCGAATGATTTCGGTGGGAAAATGACGGTAAATTGTACGCCTGATAATCCTCTGTCGCAAAAAAGCGTTTTCATGACGACCCTCTTAATCAGATCAGATGGATTCAGTGATCTGAGGCTAATGCGGATATAAGAAAATATACAATAATGTACCATAACATAGTCCTAATTTCTGAAAAAATTCGTTTCTTCGGCCAAACTGAAGTTTGAAATTCACAGCAAGCTTTTCTGGTGTTGTGGCATTCAGCGCTTCCGCCGAGATAAAAATTATAACTGAGTAGAGCGATGAAGGCATAAAAAGCGCTGATTGCCTGAAAAGCTTAGTATAGGATTTTAACTTTTTGATATTCGTATCTGATCGTTTCCAGTGTCTTAGGATATATGTACATACATACGTATGTATAAATTAGGGTGGTCTGTAAAAAATATCAACGAAAATTTCAAAATTATAAAAAAAATATATTTAGGGGAAGTAATTTTTTTTTTAAATCGCTACATTTGAAAAAAAAATTCGATAAATTTGTCTTTGTTGTTTTGCGTGGATGCTGATATTTTAAGGACCACACTAATATTTATGATGATATTTTGTAGCAACTAAAAAGACACTGTGGCAACACTGATTTAATTCATTTGTAACTGCTTATACACATTCATACATATGTAACTACACAGTTTCTTACTTACAAACAAAAAAAAAAAAAATAATCATAAAATCCCAAAGTAAGCAAAAAATAAAAAAAAACAAGCCACGTTATTATTTGCAGAGCACAAACATATAAACACGTCGGGCTTGTGTCGCTTTTAAGGTAGTTTTCATTTAATAGCATCGCAGTGAACAACACGTTTCGTCACAACGCATCGACGGTATTTAACATTAACAACAGCAACAATAACAAAAAACTACTATTTGGTAATTTACGTGAGTTGGTTATATCGACGTTTGCAAAGAAAAGAGTCGAAGTGCTAATCGAAAAAAATAAAATAAATTTGCATACAAGAAGTGACTATTTTTTCTCGCTTTGCTACATTTTTTTTGCAGGCGGTGCAACTATGCAAATGTTTGTGTTAATGCTGTTTTTGGCACTCGTAGTGGTGAGCAATGCGCAAAGTATGTGTCCATTTATCGCCTATTTTTTATAAATTTTCCTTAAGCTTTAACTAATAAGGAAACTCCCTTGACTTTTGTGTCGTGTTTCTGTGTTTTTTTTTTTCTCTTCTATTTATTTGTTGCCCTGTTTTTTTGCTTAGTAGGTTGCCCCTCATCAACAAAGGTGCTGACCTGCACGCCCAAATGCAAACAAGACACCGATTGCAGTGCCATTGGTGGCAAGTGTTGCCCGAATTTGTGCAATGAGCGTTCTTGCATACAACGGAATCAATTGGATTTGGGCAGTTCATCTTCTGGTGGCGATAAATATTGTGAGTATAGCTGAACTTTCGTAAAAAAAATTATGTTTTATCATTAGTTTGTCTGCAAAGCTCAAGTGCAGTAGAGAACTTTTTTTGTTGAAAGATTTCAACTTAGAGACGATAGCAATTTTGGTATGAATCTATTTATGACTCTTTTGCAAACGATTAATAATAAAACTGAAATTGTAAGAAAAAAGTTTAGGAATAAATTTTTCGCAAAGTGAAATACATACATACATATTTATTTTGAATTTTTCGGAAATCAAGCAAAATAATATCAAATAAATAAAAATTATTTCTAAGCGTAAAATTTCAAAAAACTGATCATTATTGTATCTCTAATTATTATTTGTTCTACATATGTACAAAGATCTCATGAAAAAATTCACAAACTTCAATACTTCGCTCTTTTGCTATTAAATTTTATCGAAAATTATATAAAAATTATTATTTTTTTTTCTAAATTGGAAACTTTTGTGTTGACTTTTCTCTTTGAAAATTAAAAGTTTAATAAAATTAACAAATGTCACAAACAAAATTTTACATTAACATTTTCATAACATCTAATCTTTTTTGGCAATTAATTTTATTATAAATCTTCAAAATAAAATGATTTCACAAATTTAACATTAAAAATCAAGAATTTTATTAAAATATTTTTTAAATAAAAATTGATTAAAGTTATTTATCCGCGAAATTGAATACTTTTTTATAAACTAATTACACTTTTTTTCATCGAAAACGCGAGAATTTCTAATAAACAGCTGCAACAAAAATTTTTTGCATATTTATTAATATGTTTTATGAATAAATTACACTCTTTCTCATGTGGCAATTTGAAATGGCCAGTAGTAAATAAAAAACTTAAAACAAAAAAAAAATATATTAAAATTATTTTTCACAAAATTTTTGTAATACTTTCGTAACAATCACGAAAATATATGACTTAAATACAAAACAAAAATAAATTTTCAATAAATATATATGTAGATTAATAAAAATACTTTTTACAAGTTGAAAAGAGTGTTACTGATAGCAAAAATAAATAAAAAATACGCAATTTAAAAAAAAAATCCTTACAAATCGTTTAAAGCTGCGAGGCGAGGCACAGCGCATTTACAATGTATCATTCAAAAAATTTTAATTCAAACGCACTCATAGTTATTTGGTTTTTCAATTAAAGATACTAAAATTGTTTAATCGAAGTTAAAAATAAATAAATAACTCAAAACGAATACTTTTACAAAAAAAATCTATAAATTGAAACTAAAAAACAACTTTAACTGAATTTCGTACATTGTGAAAGAGCCCGTTTTTTGTTTTTACGAAAGATCTTTTAGAATATTTAGCAAAAAAACATATTTTATAAATTCAATTGAAAAAAATATATTTACACGCAATTCGCACGGGCGAAATGTTTTTTTTTTTGTTTTTATAGAATATTTTTTAGAATTTTTAGTAAAAAATAATAATTTTTTGTATTAATTTTTCATTTACAGCGAGTTCCAGCTCTGGCGCCTACTGCGGCAACATCAAATGCAACCCTCAGGAGAAATGCCAAGTGGATCGTTCGACCAAACGTCAAAAATGCGTCAGAACTTGAATCTCCCGCCCAAAGCACAATTAATGGATTTTTTAAAAATACTGTAATATTAAGCAAGCAAGCACATTTTTCTTTTACTTACATGCTTATTTATTTATGTAGTTATGAGTATGCATTAATGTACTACTTATATGTATGTATATTCACTTACAAGTGGCGCCGCTACGACGAATTGCACTAAAAGGCAAGCGATCAAAATAAATTTCAGCATTTTGAATTTGGTAGTTTTTTTCTTAACGGTTTTCTGCTTTCACACAAGAAAGAGTTTTTCTTCCTTTATTTAAAATGGTAAATGCACTTTTTTTTTACTTTTATGTACGTTTGGCGCACGCGCGTATTTCAAGACTAACCACTGTGCGCAGATATCTTTTGCTTTTATAGCAAAAGTGTGACATGCTACATACAAGCTGTGAATTTAGTAAGAGTAGTTTCTGTACACATCTCAGCATCGCGACTACATATGTACATATTTATGCAGATATTTCGATATTCAAGGGCCACACCAAATCGTTCGGTGAGTGATGTCGTCGTCAGTAGTTGTACATACATATGTGGATCCGCCGAAGATTGGCTAGGCGTGGTGTGTAGTGGCTAGCTTCTGGCGTGCAAGATCGCCAGAAGATACAGGTTACAATTTCTACATACTCGTATGTTGCCACAATTAACAGTTCATACAATAAAAGACACACTGAACTGCAAGTGGTTTTTGTTTTTTTACGGGCAAGTAAGCCGTGCTGCGTGTAAATTAAGTTAGTGGTGCTTACGCGTATAATTGACTTCCCATCTCGCTTACTACAGCTTTTTTTATAAAATATTTCTTCTTTTCACATTTAAGCATGTCTTTAGACTTTCATTGGCACAGAAGTATTATGCAATGACTTCACACTTAAATAAATCTAGTAATACCCGTTATAAGCACTGAATGACAGAAGAAGAGTACGAAAAAGTTTTCCGTAGGTGACACAACACAATCTCCGGCTACTTTAGAACGGGCATTAGCTGGCTGTACATTAATGTCAATATAACTTATGAAGAAAAAAAAAAATTATTTTAGTGGGCATACCAAAAAATGCTTAGAATTGATTTTGGAGCGAGTTTTATGTTTTTTTTTATACATACATATTTACAGTAAAATTAAATGTTGGTTCGAAGATATAGACCAGTTTCTAAAGAGGATAGAAAGTAAAAAATATACAAGGGTCATCAACAAAATCATCGTATTGGAAGGTGGCTAGGTTTTCATACACTTATTTGATGATATTATGCAGAGAAGTGTATGTATGTACATTAGACTGCGTCACCAAAAAAAATGCCACCACCACCAGGATTATAAAATATATTACATTTGAAGACTTCGCTATTTTCAACGGAATCGTAATAATGAGATTTTTAATGCTTTTTTTTTACTTTTTTCAAAGATTGATTTACGAAATTGAAACGATTTATTTAGGGCCAAAACTATTCTGATTTAGACTCATACCGAAAGGTATTTTCCCAATATTTTTATTTATGTGCAAAAAAAAAAGTCATTCGTGTCACAAGTTTCTTTTTTTCAAATACCAACACATCTTAATTCAACTTTGAATGGTGTTCGTTCATCCTACCTTTCTCTTTCATCCTTTGAATGAGTTTATTAGCAAAGAAATAAAAAGGGTGAGAAAGTACCTTTCCAATGCTACCTCACAAGTCTAAATCGGAAGAGCTTAGGTGCAGTTATTCAAGTTTTCTTATACCAATCTTTGAAAAAAAGTTAAAAAACAGCATCAAAAATCTTATTATTACGATTCCGTTAAACATTTTTTTAAATTTGTTAAACATATTTTTATGCAACTTTTTTAAGCTCAAACCGTTTTGAGGGAATTTAAAAAAAAAAAAATCTTTAAGAAACTATTTTTATTCATAAAAAAACTCCATTTTTGGAGGTATTTTCAAATCGGTCCAGCTCGCTTAAATCTTTATATTGTTCCGAAATATTTTGGTGGAGGTCTTAAAATATAATAGATTTTATAATTCCGATGGAAAAACAGTACCGATTTTTTTTTTGTATGGGGAGTGATGCAGTCTAATGTGCATATATAGTTTTAATTAGGGCTGTGCGATTAATTGATTACTCAAAATTTTAATTAATCATAAAGTAAATAACTCAATTATTCGATTAATTGGAAATTATGATTACTCAAAAGTTCAGTTACTCGAGTAATCAAGATTTTTGATTAACCAAAAAAAAAAATATTTGAGTAATTTGCTTTATGATTAATCAACATTTCGAGTAAAATGAGTAATCAACATTTCAACTCTTTACATATGTATGAAGTAGTTAAAGTTCCTTGATACTTTGAAAACAACGTTTCTGTTTTCAAAAATTAAAACGAAAATTTTTTTTCATATACAGAATGTAAAAAAGAAAATAAAAATTTTCCAAAGCAAACTCTTTTAACGAGCAAAATTATTTTTTTGAGTAATCATATTTCAAGTAACTCGATTAATCATCGTTTTGAGTAATCAAAATCTTGATTACTCGAGTAATTGATTAACCGAATAATTGATTAACCAACTTGCTCGAGTAATCGAATAATCGCACAGCCCTAGTTTTAATACAAATTTGTAAATATAAATTAATCCACTCGCGTGCCAAATGCTTTAAATTTGTTGGTTAACTTTTACATAAACAAATACAGACATGTACATATACATATGTATATGCACATATGTACATACATACGTGTTTGTCCCGAATTTCAACTGAACTTACTTATTTTGACAGGTATTTTGTAAGTCAATGTTAGAAATTTGCATACAAAAATACCAGCATCGTCTTTCCGCTTGCTTTTGTCTATTAATTTTCCTTTTTGTTTAATCATAATAAGCATTGTGCAACTTGTCAAACGCCCGTTAGCTTAAAAATTAGCATATGCAGATAAACATGTATGTACATATAACACACACACCCATAGAGAAATACATTAAAAATGTTGAAATTTCCTCAAGGTCGAAACTCATCGGGATGCACATACATGCACATATGTATTTATACTCTAAAATTTCAGCATAACAACCACGCTACTCCTGTTTTTCGTTGTTTTTTTTTTGTTTTTTTTTTCAATTTCTTGGCTGACCCAACTCTGCAGGTGCATAAAGTGATTACTTATACATATGCATTTATACATGGATGTAGATATGCATGTACATATGTACATATTAGCATATTCGCATCTCTTCGATGTTGCCCGGGATGATATTTAGTATTAAAAAAGATCACTAAATAAATTCACATTTCAGCTAATGATGGCTCAAACCGGCTTTAAACAGCTAGTGCTAGTTTTGCTTTTACCAAAAAAAAAAAAAAAAAAAAACTCGTAAGGTTACTTGTTTGTATTAATGTTAAACTCGAAACTCACTTAAAAGGAAACATATGTACATCAATCGGACAAAATTCTTTTTAACGACTGATGATTGTAAAAGGCACACTTTAAAATACAGAAGTACGTTCGTATGGAAAAGTAGCTTATGGTCGAAAGGCTGGCTTTAGTATAATGCGGCATTCCCTTTATTCTTTAAACGACAAAGAATTTTTTGATGAGACTGATCGGAACTCTATTTCTTGCACGTTTATTTGCCAAAAGTTCTTCAATGGCTCAACGCCAGAGTCATTCACAATCGTATGCTGCGAATGCCGATTTATACTAAAGCCAGCCTTTCGACATAAGCTACTTTTCTATACGAACACAGATATGTACTATCGACTGCTGAGTGGAAAATCTACCTATCTGGGCAGCCAGTTCGAAAACGCCCTATCTCAAAAAACTTTCCTTTCAAAAACGCCCTATCTCAGCTGCCGATTTAAAAACGCCCTATATCAGCACATTTTCAATACATTTTGAAGTAAGATAGGGCATTTTTGAACCGAACTCTGAGATAGGGTGTTTTTCAATAAAATTCTGAAATAGGGCGTTCTTGAAAAGTTATTTGAGATAGAGCGTTTTCGAATTGGCTGCCGAGATAGGTCGATCTTCCACTCAGCAGTCGATATACTTTTACTATTTTCGTTTTTCATGTTCACTGCAGCTTTGATTTTAATACATACCGTTTTTTAACAATTAAACAAATAAATAAAAAATATATAAATCTTCAAATATGTACATCGCTTAATGCTTTAAGAAGTTACATATATAAATTTCAATTAGAATCTTTTGTAAAAGAATTAAGCTACATACCTGGCTTTTTGAGGTCAATTAAACGGCGGAAAGCTACTAACCTTTGCTACTGTTGTTAATGCCCGTATTGCTTTATAGCACATTGCTTAAATAGTAGTTGTAATAGTTAAAACATTAAATAAAAACGTGTAGTAAATGACCCAGCGTACAACGCTGGGCCGGATACAAAACCAGAAGTTCCGCTGACGGACCACCGAAAATGATTTGCACAGATTTCACATATTTCCGGTTGGCTGAAGTATGCAGAATTTCCGTCAAATAATTGGACACACACACACTTTCACGTTTGCAAGGCTTTGATGTTAAACATTTAATTACGCGCACTAAAATTCACTAACCGATCATACTTATCACACACACTTTCATTTAAACAGTTTTTAAAGCTTATATTTCACTAAAATAAAATGTATAATTGCAAATTTTCACTGCCTAGCGCGCACTTTTTTGCGAATACGCCAAGTTGTAACTGTCTAAAGCAGAGTTGCCAGTACGAAGTTCACGACGAAGATTTGTCTCCAACTTCACAACAAAAGTTAAAATTTAGTTATAAATAGTTCGGGATTGTATTACATAATTGAAGTAGAAATCAGCTTTCTAATAAAAATTAAAATTCCGCAACAGATTTGATAATTTCAACAAGTGCGCAGAAATTTTACTTTTGATACGAAAAGCAACACTTCGGACTCCTAAAATAGTGGTGCGTGATGAGAAAATAACGCTGTAACAAGTAGATCGAGTACTTGTATCCAATAATTAGACCTTGTTAATACAATGCGAAATTTGTGTAGCAAATTTTACTATTTCATCCATTTGCTGATATGAATTAAGCAAAAAAAGATGCTAATTCCAATATAAAGGCTTAATTATTATATTAACACCCACATTCGTACTTGCGAATAGCACCGAACCGGTTGCTTCGAAGGTGAGTACCTTAATTCGTTTGTGGTATTTCACATTCCTACTCCTAAAATTTGGATTTTTATTTAGAAAAGTAAAATATTTGGATTACGATGGAAGAGACTGTTGATGAAAGTGATTATTTACTAGAATGGAAAAGGTTGGCGACGTTTAAAAACTGGCCTGTAAGTAATGTAATAGAAACGCGCTGTGTGGCAGTCATCTTTAAATAAAGAAAATTATCAACTGTGTTGAAATATCAGTGTACTATATTTAGTTTACTCATTAGTGAAAAACTACATATTTGTGTGTTTGTTTATCCATTGAAATGCGCAGTGTTAATTAATTTCTTATATTCTATGAAGTTTTCCTTTAATATTATACTCTGCTCATCTAACCTAGAATCCCAATATCTCACCGCAATCGCTGGCAAAAGCAGGTTTTTACTATTTAAACCGTTCGGATCAAGTGAAATGTGCCTGGTGCAAAGGCATAATTGCTAAGTGGGAGGAACAAGACGACGCCTTTGAGGAGCACAAACGCTTCTTTCCCGAATGCCCACGCGTGCAATTGGGTCCACACATAGAGATGTCGAGCAATGGCATACGTGATTTGGGCATACAACAGATTTCTCCACCGAAAAAGCCAAAATTTTCCTCATTAGACTCGCGGCTCCGGACATACACCGATTGGCCAATTCCAGACATACAACAGCCCGAGGCGTTAGCACAAGCTGGCCTCTATTATCAGAACGTTGACGACCAAGTGCGCTGTTTTCATTGTAATATTGGATTGCGCTCGTGGCAACGCGAAGATGATCCATGGTTTGAACATGCCAAGTGGTAAATTCATTTCAATTGAAAACTTTAAACTGCATTTAATTCAAATTTTATTTTAATGGTATCTAAAGGTTTCCCCAATGTCAATTCGTGCGCCTAGTGAAAGGTGCGAGTTACATTCAGCATGTGCAGGAGTTGACACGGCAATGTGGCCATCAGCTACATAGCGAGATGACAATTGATGAAGCTATGAGTACAGCACCAGTGCTACAGGCCTTGGAAATAGGTATCGATGGCGGTTCTATACGAAATGCAACGCAAAGGCAACTTTTGGCTGTTGGACGGCCTTATGACACAGTTGAAGATCTAATACAAGCAGTATTTTGTGATCCAGAAGATGCTGAATCAAATGCAAGTAGACAGTGCACCGAAAGCTTGAGAGCTTCTTTGGAACAAGATGTATCACGTTTAATAAATATAATGGATGAAACATTGAATGCGAATAATGTTCAAAATCAGCATTTTGTAAATGAAATGAATACACCCAGCTGTTCAGCTGCAGTAACAAATTCATTGCATGCGGAAAATATTGATGATAACATACAAATGGCGGCTAATGCTGATAAAAGTGTAATTGTAAGCACCGAAAAAACTACTGAACCATCGTTAAGTAGAACGCTGTCGCTGGAAGAGGAAAATCGAAAACTGAAAGACGCACGTTTATGCAAAGTGTGTCTGGATGAGGAGGTTGGCGTAGTATTTTTGCCATGTGGACATTTGGGTAATTACATATTCTTATTGAAGAGCTTTTTTGGGATTCGTTGCGCTGATTTCCCTTTTATTACGTTATTTTTTTTTTTCTTATAGTCACCTGCGTACAGTGCGCGCCAGGCGTCGGTCAATGTCCCATGTGTCGCGCAGATATTAAAGGTTTTGTTCGCACTTACCTATCATAAATGGTGGAACATTCACAATTTATTTCCTGTCACAGTGTTATATTAATTTATTATATCATGTAGTCCAAGGCAAATTCATATAAGGTGGTGTTACCAGAGTAGCTGACTTCAAGGCGAATTGTGCTGATGGTCAAAATGATGAGCTTGTTGTGTTTGGATGGTCATTTTGCTTATAATTTGTTAGTGTCGTTTTTTTTTTGTGCGCCGCTATAACCTTATATGAATTCGCCTTGATGTAGTCGATATAAAACATGCGTTTGTACATGCAAACATAAATACAAGTACATACATATATGAATGTTACTACATAGGTTCGAACGGTAAGGCACGTTTTGTCGTAATAATTTTACATATATAGATAATGTTACAAAAAAGAAAGCTTTTTACTTATTACTGTACGATAAACACAAAACTATTGTTTAAATGGTATGTAGTAACATACATACCTATCTACCTTGCAACAAATCAAATAATGTAGTTTGTTATGTTTTTAGGACTTTTAGAAAGTCAAATGAAATTAATTTTCATAAAAATCGAATGTAATTTAACGAAATGATGTGTTTTTTCTTTAGTGTGTATTTCATGTGAAAATAAAAAGGTTACAAATTATATACATAAATACTGTATGTTTTATAAAATATGCGAACTTATTTAAATTGCTTTCCGTAAATTTTTTTATTGTATAAGCTCACTGCTTATTATATAGTTATCTGTTCATGTGATCTGTATTTTATTGTTTTAAACTGAATAAAACTATAACCAGATAACCCAAATTGCAAGAAGGCTTATTGAGCTACTTTGTTAGAATTAATGTAAGTAAATCCCTCTTATCGAGTGTTATTGTAGTTCACCACGGTGTTTTTTGTTTCAGAAAAAAAAAAACTTAATCGTGAAATACAGTTGTCCGAAAACAGTATTTTAGAACTTATTGTTTAACATTGTAGCAAATAACTTTATTAAGCCTCTCATTCCATCAATTCGCCTAAATGTAGACAACTTTTCTCGTGCGATTTCGTAGAATACATGTTCAGGAAGCGTTTTTACTAACACATATTCATTTCGGGCATTTGCTGCAAATCGTACAATTTGAAATTGGTGCGATTTGCAAAATATTTTTTTTTTTTTATTTGTAATGCAAGTAATAAATGTTTCAAATAGAAACTGCTAGAAACACTAATTTTGCCGTTTTGTTAAGAGTTCTCAGAAATAAGTTTTTAACTCGCACCGATTTCAAATCGTACAATTTGCGGCATATGCCCGATTATAAATTTTTTGACCTTTATTTTCGCGCTTGAAAGGTATAAACGCAAAAATGCATAGATCACATGCAAATACGTATGTAGATAATAAGAGAACTAGCATCAAGCAAAGAGATCAATAGGAAGTGTTCATCAGCGTTTACTTTAGTTGTGGTTGTTTCTCTCTTCTCTTAGCTCATAATTGTTTGGCGGGCAATATCCATTTGCCACTATAAGCGTTCATTTCGGTTGCTTCAGTACGGAATCTTCGCTTGCCAACGGCACACTTGCTCGTAGAATTAACGCGAAAGATCAGTGGGTCCGTCGGTCGGTCCACCACTGCCTGTGCAAGTACATAAACACATGCGTATATACAATTAAATAAACACACAAACATATCGTTATGTATGTCTATACTATGTACCTATTACATAGCATAATAAGTATATATACAAATCTGTAAGCGCATATTATGTACAAACATATTTCCAAAGTTTACAAAGTGAGCACAATTTTTCAATATTAGTATTAAAAAAGATAATCATAATTTTACTAATAATAAAGCTGTAAAGTGCTGTGGTGAAGAGAAGGGCGCGTGGGAGACGTGTATGTATGTAGAATAGTGAAACCAGAATCGTGCAAAAGACAAAACAATTCGAATTTTGGTATTCAGATGTTCTTAGTGCTTAATGAACTACTATCTGAATCTGAAAGTGGCGCATGCATGTCTGTGTGTGTGTTGTATGTTTGTGTGGGTACGATTTTTTTGTGCATGCAGCAGTGTTGGTGAATGTGTGAGTACATCTTCAGTGCAAGCGGAGCATCGAAAGCGGCTAATGATGTTCATGTGGATTTTTATTAACATACATATTTGTTTGTATGTATGCTTGCAATTTACTGAATGCATAAAATGTGCAAATAAATACACAGCTATGTATGTACATATGTATGTATGTATGTACCTACGTACGCTGTAGCTTTTAGCTGCCCACTTTCGAAAATACATTTTCATTTGAGAATATGTACCTACTTAAGTTCATGATAAAAATGCAGCTGAAATTTTAGTGACGAGTTGTAGAAAAGCAATTTATAAAATCTAATATGAATACCTACCTACATATTGTTAGCTTAATTCACAAAGGCCCTAATCAACACTTTTTTTGAAACTGCGTTTTTCACAGATTTTGGTGGAATGTATCAAAATACACCGTTAATATAAAGTTTTTTAAGTGTTACTACCAAAAAACAACGGTGTTACAAGCCACTATTTAAAAAGCTCTACCTGTTTTTGATACTAATTTTATAATGTTTTTTGCTTCTTCTGTGAAATAAAAAATTTGTTGGTTAGGGCCTTTTCGAATTAAGGTGACGATATGTAAGTTCATAAACAAAAATTTTAAGTTAATTTATTTAAAATTTACAGAAAAAATTAACACGTAGCCATAACAAATATTCGCTATGTATGTACAAATGTTTTTTGTGCTCTTATCTCATTTCTATAATCATACCCGGCAGTCTCAACAATAGACATTGCGCTGCCAATAGCACAAGTTCGTCTTAAAAATTTAAAATTATTTCCCATTTTCTTTTTTTGTGCGGAATATGCTAGGTATAACCTCTCAATAGAAATTCTAATGATTACCGACAGCACCGAACACCGTTAAAACGTCTTTGTACTTACATACATACACTGTCGGCAAAAAGTATTGGAACAGCTGCTTTTTTACAATATATGCAACAATTTTGATTGTAACATTTTTCCCACAATTTTGTATAAAAATGTGGTTCATTCCCCAACAAAACACATAAAAATATAATTTCTAAACTTTGTGCAAAACTCGTGAAAATTCAGCAAATTTTCATGCAAATTTCCATATTTTTAATCAGATTTTTTAGAATTTTTTCGAGTATGAAGATTTGTAGCCCATTAAAATGCAAGTTCGGAGTTAGTTAAAAATCGCATTGATTTTGAGATTTTTTTTTGTTGAAGGTGTGTGAAGGTTTTCCATATATAAACTTTTTTTTGTATAGAACTGCGGGAAAAAAATGCCAAAAATCAACGGTAATTCCGACCTCCTTAGAAATTCTACTTTATTACAATACAATTGATTGGGCTACAAATCTGCGTACTCAAACAGTTGAAAATTTGCATGAAAATTTGCTGAATTTTCGCTGGTTTTGAACAAAGTTTAGAAATTATATTTTTATGTTTTTTGTTGTGGAATGAACTATATTTTTTTTTTAATTTCTCGGAAAAATATTACAACAGAAATTGTTGCATATATTGTAAAGAAGCATCAGTGTCAATACTTTTTGCCGGCAGTGTACCTTCGACACATGCATCTTACATACATGTGTATGTACATATGTAGATGAGCATATCTCTTCTTGAAGACGAAGCATCGAGAGTCTTTACGTTGATAGAACGTAACCTGAAAGTATCGGTCTTCAACTCCACACCCACCCTCTTTCCTCCTCTGAACGAACAATGTGACGCTCGAACTGGTCGCCGAGGTCAAACGAACGCATACGCGTCTCACGCGAAAGACAATAAAATTTGCAGCAGCAACAAAGTCTTCCAGTTGGTTACAAGCCACATCTTTGGCTAAGACAAGGATAATCTTATTGCCACTTATAAATCAATCGTTCGATCTGTAACGAACTACACTGCTCTAGTGTAGAATATGAGCAACAATGAAAAGAAGTGTTCTAATCTTCAGACGTGCCAAAATGCAGTTCTCCACATCGTCACTGCGCATCTTATCACTACACCAGTTGCATGATACAGCCGAACTACTTCCGATGAAGGGGCACAGCTTGCTCCTGCCCAAACAGTTCCTCTTAGATTGAGGCAGAACCAACCATCCCAACTTTAATTTGACGAGACAACTCAGCCAGATGTAAAAAGTTTTTGTACAACACATCTATTACCGTATGAACCCGAGGAGATCTTTCTGGCAGTACTGAAAAATCTGCACTGCGATTTGGTTGCTTCTGTAATTACTACTCGCAGTAGCAACATGATGCTAGAAAGTAGCCCGCACTACCGCGCGAGTCCAGAGTACGATCCGTGATGGGTAGCAAGAACATTTCCCACAGAGTCAGCCTTTGCCTTGTTCCGGAAATAGTCCACAGAATACCGTCAACCTGTTTGCCCTTTCTATATATGGTAGGATACCCATCTGACATCAGTGGCGCTTTGACTGGTGGGTGATGCCTACTTGGGGTGAGCTATGGTGCGGTAAGCCAATATATAAAGTATTTTCTGCACATACTCGAACTGTGTAGCAGGACAACTTCTATCTCCGACTTGTTAAACATTCTTATAAACACGCCCTTTCCAGGATGCACTACAGTGCAAGTTAATATATTCCGCATGCAGCTTTTCAATGGAATCTCATAACATTATAAGTCGATCAAAGGTGGAATGGGATATTAATTGCTTCTAACCATACATATATGCGGGATTAGACTGAAAATTTTCTGTCGAACTTCAAAAGGCAGCAGGGCTCTTATGCCCTAATTTTAACGATGCGTGGACCACTACGAAAATAGTATTCATATCGCTAGGAGGAAAGTCTTCCCATCGGAAGCCCAGCAACTTTCGGCCTATATATACAACCTATCCAACATTCATCCTGGTAATATAACGATATCTGCGGAGATGGAGGGACCATCAGTCACCTCATACATGGAAAAAGGAACTCCGCAAGGCGGCGCTCACGCTTCTAAGGAAAATGAATGATTTGCTGTTGCGCTTACCTGCCATGGGCTGTCAATTTGTAGCGTATGCGGACGACCTAACTGTAAAACTAAATACCCTCATGTTTTAGGTAAAAAAGTGCCAATAAACTTTCCCAATTTCAACTCGCTGCGCTGAATGACAACCCATTCACTTTGGCATCAGGAAAGTCAATAAAAAGTTGGGCATAAAGCCAAGAATCGTACACTGGATGTACACCGCTTCGGCCTATAACGTTTTAAGGCGCCATATTTTGGTGAACACACTTGGAGAAATCTGCTATTAGGGTGCACAGGGCGACGTGAGCTTTATGTTAAAGTCAAGTACCTGCTTATCGACCGTAAACTCTTCACACGAATCGGGTCCAAGCCGGATGATTTAAGACAAATTTCTTTAAATTGGCAAGCAACCGAAGCTACGGTCTTATTAATATGGAATGCCTAAACTGCGGCTGGTAATACTAAGGTATCGCCGTTTCCCCATTAGAATGGGCGCCAGCTCATTACAACATTGCATCTAACCCTGAAGGCTTTATAAATTCCAGAAAAGTTCCGATGATATGGAGTGAAAGTGCTCTTCTCTTGGCCATAAATGTCCCAGACACCTCGTCCTTCTCCGTGAAACGGCGTCACATTCCAGGCGGCGATGTCTAACTAGATCCTTAGCTTATGCAACTAACTGCACTAATCCTTAGCCTCTCCTTGGCGAAGTTTATGAGAAGCCTG